TCCCAAACTACTACACAGCCACAGTAATCAAAACAGAATGTTTGTGGCATAAAGACAGACATATAAACCAATGGAATAGAACAGAGAACCCAGAAATAAACCTTCATATGTAGAGCAGCCCTCCTTTATTCATGGTTTTACTTTCCACACTTTCAGTTACCCATAGTCAACTTTGGTCCAAAAATATTAAATGGGAAATTACAGAAATAAATAATTTATACATTTTAAATATGATTTATTTTATGGCTGTAAGTGTTCTATTTTTATTATAAGTTGTTGTAAATATCTTACAGTGCCTAATTTATAAGTTAAACGTTATCACAGGTATGCATGTGTCAGGGCTGGGGATGTGTCTCAGTAGTATAACACTTGCTTAGCATGTGCCATACCCTGTGTTCAATCCCTTGTACCTTAAAACAAAACAAAACAAAATAAACACAGTGTCTGAGGGTTTGGCACTATCTGGGGTTTCAGATGTCCATTGGGGGTCTAGGTACATATCCTCATAGATAGGTGGGAACTTGTAAATGATCAATTATTTTTGGATATGGGTACTAAGACTATTCAGTGAGGAAAAGACAGGTTCACCCCTTCCCCATGAAAGTGTGCTGAACAAACTGGAAATCCTTATACAAAACAGTGATGTTAGACCATATATAAAAACTAACTTAAAATGGATAAAAGATCTAAATGTAAGAGCTAAAGTTATATAATTTTCAGAGAAAAATACTGGACAAAAGCTTTATGACATACTTGGCCAAAAGCATGGGTAACAAAAAACCAGGTAAATTATTATTATTATTATTATTATTTTTGAATTATCTGATTTTATTTAGCACACCAGTACAACTTATTCTGATAATAAATTGATACGTACAGTTACAAAAAATGTTGGGTGCTAAGAAAAATGCTTCTGTACCTATAAAGTATATGTATAATTTTTTTGTGGTGTGGTACTGGGGATCGAACTCGGGACCTTGCGCTTGCGAGGCAGGTGGCAGAACCTATGTAGAATTTTTAAACAGTTTGACTTAATAACTTCCAAACTCCAGATAAATAAATTAGACTCATCAAAATTAGAAACTTCTGCATCAAAAGATTCTTATAACAGTGAAATGACAATCGAATGTGTAGGAAAAAACTATTTGCAAACCATATCTGAAAAGTGTTTAGCATCTATAATATACAAAGAACCCTATAACCCCCAAACATAAAACTTCTCTAAAGAAATATAAATGTGGTCAAGAAAAGATGCTCAACACCACTAATATCTTTTTTCCCCTCAAAAAGCAGTGGCAAAGTTTATTTGAAAACGTAAAAGTGAAGAGTGAGAGAGAAACTGGCCCTGCAGAGTGAGCTTGAGCTGAGTAAAAGAGGAAAAAGCAAGATAAAAGTACACCCTAGAGGACACAGGGTGGGGAGCATGAGGAAAGCCATGATAACAGCCACAACATTACTAATCTTCAGGAAAATGAAAATCAAAAGCACAATGAGGTATCATCTTAAACTCATCAGGATGGCCACAGAACAAAACAAAACACCAGAAAATCTCTAGTGTTGGAAAGGATGCAGAGAACTAGAATACCTGTGCATTGTTGGTGGGAGTATAAGTGGTGTAGCCATTATGAAAAACATCAGAGAAGTTCCTCAAAACTCTAGAAATAAAATTACCATATGATCTAGCAAGGACACTTCTGGGTATATATCCAAAAGAACTAAAAGCAAGACCTTGAAGAAATATATTCACAGCCGTGTTCACTGTAGCATTATTAAAAAATCAAAAAGGTGGAAGTATACCAAGTATATACTGACAGAAGAATGGATAAAGAAAATGTGGTATACATACAAGCAATGAAAAATTATTTAGCCTTGAAAAAGGGGGAAATTCTGTCACAAATTTAGGCTAAATGAAGTAGATCAGGATAGAAGGACAACTACTATATGATTTTATTCATATGAAATATCTAATGTAGTCAAAATCATAAAAACAAAAAGTAGAAAGCTGTTCACTAAGGGCTGGAGCAGTAGGAAGGGAAGAGGAGAAACTATTGTTTAATAACATATTGTTTCAGCTTTATAAGATGAAAAAGTTCTAGAGATCTTCTGCACAACAATGTAAATATACTTAACACTACTGAGCTGTACACTTAAAAATGGATATGATGATAAATTCAATTTTAGAATTTTATCTAGGGCTAAAAAAGGAATGAAATTCTGACATATACTATAGCCTGGTTAAATCTTTCTAACAGTATGTTAAATGAAATGTCAGAAACAAGGGATAAACATCCCTTCACTTGAGGTATGCAGTTGCTACAGTTTGGATGTATGTTTCCCTCACCCACCCAATTTCATGTTTTGGAAGCTTGGTACCTAATATGGCAATATTAAGAGGTTAGGCCTAGTGAAAAGTTGTTTGGTCACTGGAGATTCATGAAGTAATAAGTTAGTTTCCACAACAATGGGTGGTTATAAAACAGTGAGTGACCCCTGAATCTCTCTGGTTTCCTTTCTTGCTATATCATCTCTCAATTACATGTGTTCCTACCATTAGGCCATTTGCCGTGGTGTGATGTAGCCAAGGGGGCTCTGGTCACAGGTCAAGTCAACAGGGATGACTGATCTTAGAATTTCAGCCTCTAAAACTGTCAGCTAAATAAATAACTCAGTTTTTCTTTACAAAGTATCCAGCCTTGGGTATTTTGTTATAGCAATAGATATTGAACTGATATACCTGGATAATCAAAATCATGGGACAAAAATTAGAACAGTAATTTCCAAGAGCCAGAGAAAGCTATAATGAGGATTTATTGTTTCCTGGGTAGTTTCCGTTTGGGATGGTAAATAAATTCTGGAGCTGAATAGAGATGGCTGCATAACAATGTGAATATACTTAAAGCCAGTAAATTGTACATTTCCAAATGGCTAAACTGGCAAATTTTTATTACCAAAATTTCTAACATTATTAAAATAATCCTCAGTAATTAAAAACTTCTGGTAATCCAATTTGAAAATGGACAAAAGACAAATATATTTCAGCAAAGAGGGAAAATAGATGGCAAATAAGCATATGAAAAGATGTTTAGCATTAAAGAAATGCAAATAAAAGCCATAATGTATAGTGGTCTGAACAACCATCAGAATAGCTAAGAATTAGTGTGATATGTTAGTTGTGGAGAAACCAGATTGCTCCAGTTTGCTCACAGGATTGTAAAATGGCATAACCACTCTGGAAAATAGTTTGGTATTTCTCATAAAATATGTACTTATTGTAGGACTGTTACATGTTCTTGGACATTTATCTCTGAGAAACAAAAACCTATAAATGGAAAACTCTACATTAAAAAACATTCATTTTACATTCATCAAAACATGGAAACTACCCAAAAGTCCTTCAGTTGATGAATGGTTAAATAATTTTGACATATTCCTAAAAGTGAATATTATTCACCAATAAAAAGTAATCAACTACAGATACAAGTAATAGCTTGGACAAATCTCAAGGGCATTATGCTTAGTGGAAAAAAAAACTCAAAAGAAAATTACATATTATATGATTCAATTTTTATAATATTCTCAGTGACAAAATTATAGAGAAGCAAAACAGATTAGAAGCTACCAGAGACGAGGGTTGGGGGCAGAATGGGAAGCTGTGATATAAAGGGGCACACAAATATCTTTGTGGTGACGGACTGTTTCTGTATCTTGACTGCAATAGAGATTATCTAAAGCTACACATGGGTCAGATTGTACAGAGCTACACACAGAAGTCACCTATCCAGACGCAGATGGATTAATGTAAAAACTGGTGGAAACTGAATAAAGTTTATAATCTCATCAATAGTATCATACTAATGTCAATTTTCTGATTTTGATATTATACTTCAATTATTTAAGATATTCCTGTTTCAGGAAGCTGGGTGAAGGGTTCATGGAATTCTATACATTATTTTTGAAACTTTCATGAATCTCTAAATGCTTTTAAATTACAAAGGTAAAAAAGCTACACGCACATTAGACAATATATGTTTTACACATCTGTATATGTGTTTACCAAACTAAATACACAGCAAACTCATTAGAATGATTAAGAGGAATGAGAAAAATAAATTACTAGCCTTGGATTGGATGGCAATGACAGTATGTTGTAAAATGAGAAATATGATGAACTCAAAAGAACTTTAAAAACTTTTATCTATTTTTACTTGATATACAAATAAACCTCTTTTACAAACACATATTTCAGGGCCAGGGATTTAGCCCAGTGGTTCCGACGCCTGCCTCACAAGTGCAAGGTCTTGAGTTCGATCCCTGGTACCAAAAAAAAAGCAATGCGCAAACATATATTTCATAGACGCCTACATGACAGAAACAGACAGACCATGGATGAATTCCTACCTATGCCACTTAGTTGCTGTGTGACTGAGCAGGGTACTCTTTAGATTTCTCAGTCAGTAAAAATGGGAACAATACACCTCATTTTCAAAGGTCTTGGGAGTGTTAAATGGGAATAACACAAATAAGGCAGTTAAAACAATGCCTAGCACGTAGTAAGCACTCAATTCATGGCAATAAATATTATAATCATAAACTGCAACCACCAATATCATCCTTTAAATTTGTTGACAAAAGATATAAAATTTTATCTTTCCTCTAGAAACTGAAAAAACACTGTGAGATCAGGAACTATGTTAAAAAAATTTTTTTCTGTGTGGTACTGAATCCAGAGGTGCTCTATCACTGTGCTATATCACCAGGCCTTCTTGTTTCTTATTTTGAGACAAGGTCTTGCTAAGTTGCCTAGACTGGCCTCTGACTTGCAATCACCTTCCTGAGCTCCTGAGTAGCTGGGATTACAGGTGAGTGTTACGCCGGGTGTGTTCATCTTTCCATTGTTATATCCTGAGGTTTTACACACAAGTATCTGTGACATAAATGAATGCTTACAAGGCTTAATTTCATTGTATCAGTACATTTTTACTATGGAGTTAGTTATGTACCTTCGTCCTTCATGTTTCGATCTATCTGTGAACCAGCATTTCTTTCTTGGAACTGTATGCCCTGCATATGTCTTTGCATAGCTTCCTGTATCACTTCAAACAATGGTTGATCCTGTTTGAGACACCATGGATGTTACTTTTGTTAAAAGTTACATTCTTCTTTATAGTACCCCAAATCCCACAATAAAATAATGTGAAAACATACACTTTTGGGGCTGGGGATTTAGCTCAGTGGTTCTGCTATCTGCCTCAAAAGCGCAAGGTCCAGAGTTTGATCCCTGGTACCAAAATAAATAAATAAA